CTATTGCAAATACTTTTTACGACGAGAAAAACTCATGAACTTTTGGGCATTTTAAACAAAAATGGAATAAAGGGAAAGAGTTTTTCATTTAAGAAAAGTAGTAGTATTTTTAAAAAGTAGTATTAAATAAAACTACTGAAATATCATTAAGAAAATCACGACTTTCTATTCGATTTCGAACATTTAAGGGATATTACCGAGATATTAACTGAACTTAATTTAAAGTTCAACTAATCTATCCAAATCAATGTTTCCTTTATATTCCTTAATACGCAATAAGTCACCAATGTGTTGATCGGTTAACCTTTTAATTGCAACAACTTTACTTTTCTGTCATGTCCCCTAAGGTCATTTAAGGGTCCATGGCAAGTTTCATAATGCCTTTTCAAAAAAAATAAAGCTTTTCTACATATAATTTTATAACATACGACGCGTTGTGCCTCACCGTCCATGTTTTCTATAAAAAAGAAATCATTTTCCCAATTTATATCAAACATTTTGCTAGGTGTAATAAAAGAGAAAAAATCATAAGCATAAAAAAATCCGCAACGTGATCTTGCTTCTACAAAAGCTGAACAGCAACTGATTTGATTTTGATCTCTGAGATCGTAACAAAGCAACAAACAAGTGGTCATTTTAGTAAAACATAGACACACTAATACACACAAGCTTATAGCGTAGGTGTGTCAACAAAGCGTCAGCAGAATTTCTTGGCCTATGCACGCGTGCATTAGAATTTCAGTTTTGCTCGTGACTGTTCTAGGTCAATTGCGTATCGATATTTTCAGAATTTGAAATAGAGCTTAATAACTAATAAGAAATCATTTTAGTCGAATTTCTCTTAATACGATTTATTATCAAGATACATTGTTTGGCACTAACAGAGATTTTATAAGAGTGGGATCAAATTGATCCTTATGAAATTTGGTAGAGTGATTTTATTTCATCATATTCATTGTAAACGTTAAAGTTCTTTTCTGCAGGTAACCTTATAACGGAGTGGGTCTAATGGGAACCGATTCTGCATGTTTTCGATACCAAGCAAACTGCAAATATTTGTGGACAAATTCTATCTAGCTCTTTCCGTTTAGGCTCTCTCGCGTTTTGAACAAACAGAGGGATGGACGGACCTGGTTTTATCGTATGAAATCTAATAAGGCCACAGAATAAATATACTTTTGTCTATGATATGTCATAAACGTAATCACAAAATCCATATATCCATATACAAAGTTTTGCAGATCTTTTGGAGGATAACTATCGAAAATTTATATTAAACGAAGACATTTAATATAAACCTAAATCCCTCTGCCAAATTTTATAAGAAATAATTCGTCCACATTTCTCCCTAACCTTAATAAAAAGTCCTGTGTATAAAATTGTTTTGTAGTGAATAAATCTCTTAAGTAATAAATTTTTGATAATTCCTTAGTTTTTATAAAATTTTTGTAAAGTTCTGTTAAGTTTCCGAAAATCGCTGTGATCACTGGTGTAATATTGACCAAGCCCGACTATGATTTCTTACTAGTTATACCCTACAACTAGGGATGCCAATCCCGAAATCCCGATCCCGAAAATCCCGGGATTTTTCGGGATTGGCAAATCCCGAATCCCGGGATTTGGAAAATAAATCCCGGGATTTTTTCGGGATTAGGATTTGTTTCAAAAAACTGTTTTTATTTTCTTTTTTTGAGCCATAATTTTCATTAATTTGAAAATTACGATCTTATTTTATTTTTGACTCATGCAAAACTAAATTCCGCAGAGCTAATTTTATACATATTTGAACCTTTTATTTTTTAAAGTGGTATGAGTCCATACACATAGCACATATAAATTTATTTATTCACTTCGTTTTTATACCTTACACCACTTTAGTGGGGAGGGTATATTGGGTTTGTGCTGATGTTTGTTACACACAATAATATTGGTCCTATACCTTAAAGTATACCAATCGGCTCAGAATCATTTTCTGAGTCGATTTAGCTATGTCCGTCCGTCTGTCCGTCCGTCCGTGTAAACCTTGTAATCAAACTACAGCAATTTTGAAGATAATTCAATGAAATTTTGCATGATCTTCTATTGTACTAGAGACGGATCCTATTGAAAATGGATAACATCGGTCCAATATTTGACCTAGCCTCCATACAACTGAACCCCCCAAATAGGGTTTTTAAGTTCATAATTATGTTCAATATACTCGTAACTCGACAAAAAGCTGCAAAACCAAGTTCTATACTAGCCTTCATGACCCTGATGTATTTTTTGATGATGCGGCCTCATTTGACCCTAGCCCCTATGCAAAGCCCCCTTCGAAATATGACTTAAATGTACACAATTTTATTCAACAAAAAATAGCTAAATTATATCTGAGGCAAGGTACAATTCAACTTAGATGCTTTATTATGAACAATAAATCACATTTTATTTTTATAACTGGTGTAGGGTATGGTAGGCTTCGCCCAACTATAACTTTTTACTTGTTAGCACATTGCAATGTTGGTCGTAGACCGACCCAAAAAGTATACACATTCTGTGTCTGTAAGCTGAAAACACGAGTTAGAAGACTCATTCTATTTGGGCTGCAAATTTGGAACAAAATTGACACAAAAAAACCTAATTGGACCTCCTCTGAAAATCACATTGATGCTGATATTAATATCAATACATTACAATATTTTGATGGTGGGTATTTAATTTCGGCACAGTCGAATACAAACTTTATTTTTCAATACTAGAGGATTTTACATTTCTAACTTTCTACAAATCTGAATGATACCGGTAAAGGTAAATTACCTTGTTCTGAATGCACCTAAAATTTTAAATTAATACTACGAATATAATAATATGTTCCAAAACTAATATGTATTTTGAGTAAAATTCCAAATATTTTTCAAAGAATAGGTTCTAAATTGATGTTCGAATAATTGAATTGGTATCTGTTATAATTATTAGTTCACATGGAACAGTATGAGGTTTTAAAAAGTGCTTATGTCTAATTTCGGAACTTGATATTTATTTTTATTTAGGAAGTAAGTATGTATTTAAAAAGTTTCAGAAATTATTCAATTCTGAAAGTTTTTATTTAAAAATTGGAATTAATTGGATTGTTTTAATTTAAATATATCTTCTGTCTGTTAAATTTCCACAAAATTAAACAATTTTCTTTACAAATATGATGATTTAAAGATTTTCATATATAAAATAATTAAATTCATGTAATCCCGAAATCCCGTAAAATCCCGAAATACCGAAAAATCCCGGGATCCCGAAAAATCCCGGGATCCCGAAATATCCCGGGATCCCGGGATTGCAATTTTCAAAATCCCGAATCCCGGGATTTGTAAAAGCCAGTCCCGTTTGGCATCCCTACCTACAACACTATATTGAGAAGGTTGTTATGCGTTTGTGCTGTTGTTTGTCCTATACCCACCTTAAAGTATACCAATCGGCTCAGAATCACTTTCTTTGTCGATTTAGTCCGTCTGTGTGTCTAAGTAAAACTTGTGCCACTCTATAGTTCACAATTTTCAAGATAATTAGATGAAAAATTTTTTTTTCTTCTTTGTATCCAAGGACAAAGCCTATTGAAAATTTTTAAAATCGGTTCATTATTTCGTATAGCCTCCATATAACCGTACCACCCGAATAGGGCTTTTGAGCTCATGAATATGTTAAATGTTCTTGATACAAAAATCGGCAAAACTTGGTTTTAGATAAGTCTTAATAATACTGCTGATTTTCGTAATGATCCGACTTCGATTGTCCCTATAACCCATAATAAGTACCCTTCAGAAAATGACTTGTTAGTCTAAATTCACTTATAAACACTAATATCAAGTTGATATTTTACATAAATAACTATATAAATAGGACCATATTAACCCCCTGTCCCCAATATAACCCCTCTTTTAGAAAATATCTTTTTTGTCAACAAATTGTTAAAATATTTCGGAATTAAGGTAAAAATGAAATTCATTACTTTATTATTAAAAAAATAATTAAAATTTGTAACATAATTACTGGTGTATCATAATCAGGGTATCAAATGGTCGGCCATGCCCGACTATCTTACTTGTTTTAATCTGTTTTTTCTAATACAATACAAAATCTTTCTTTACAACATAAACTGTGAAATCCCCTCATATTTTAACCATTAAACTTACATACATACTACATTCAATTACACGGTACATATTTTTTAGGCGTGTAATCACATTGTTGTTGTTGTTGTTACTGTTATTGTGGTTAGAAAAAAATTATTGTTCATTCCTTGCCATAAAAATTACACACTCATATTTTAAGTATTAAAGTTGTTTCACTCTTTGTTTGTTTGTTTGTTCCTTTAGCCTACAAAAAAGTAAATTTCAAAATCCATTATATCAATACTCAAGTAATATAATGCAGTCTGCTCTGTGTGTGAGAAAGACTCAAATCCATTTTTGATTTTCTGTGTGGTTTGGCCTATTTTTTGTTGTTGTTGTTATTTGTCACAGAATTGTATAGAACACACAAAAAAATTTATATCATTTTAATAAAAAAAAACGAAAATAAATTTATTGAATGAAGGTATTTTTCAATATAATTTTTTTTATTAGTATTATAAACGTATGAGTCAGATTACGTTTTATTTCTTTGTACAATATTTTATGAATTTATTTATAGACATACATACATTGTTACTTACATTGTAGTGGGGGATAAATCTATAGGATTCACGACCTTGTTTTAAAATACGAGTTATATACTTTGAATTATTCCCGGGAATTTTAAAAATTTAGTCAAGAAGTAATAAATTGATGAAACCTGTGATTTACCAAATATTTTTTCTAGATCAAAAATACTCACTTCATGTTGCATTTTTGTTTTTTTTTTTTGGTTTTCATAATTTTCTTTTATAATTTATTTAAAATGTATAATTTTTTATGTTTATGTTTTATTTTATTTTTTCATTTTCTTTATTCATTTAACATTATATATACTTTTTTTTGTTTTTGCAGGGTGTGACATAGAAAATTATACACAAAATACCAAACACCTTTTATTAATTGTTTGAATTTTATTTTAATTTTGCAACTTGGTGAGTAATTTCATTAATAATTTAAAAAAAAAAAAAACATCTTTTAAAAAATGAACTACGTAAAATATAAAAATTTAAAATTTTATTTTAAAAACTGCTTACTTAATCTAGCATTGCTTAACCCTAAATTATATCATATCAATACATTTACATATTTCTTCTATTCAATATAAATTCCCCTAATATTATTTAATTTATCAATTTTATTCACATTTTCTTTGCATTGATTTATTAACTTATGGCGAAAACGTTCCCAAACATGTGTTTAACTCAATTCTGTAACAAATTTATTATTGACATTTTCCTTTTCCCAGGATAACGTTAAATCTCAGAAGTGTTAGAAAAACGACATTGATTTTGGCTCAATTTTAGCTCAAAAAGCTCTTTATTATGCATCGTATAAAATCTCAAAATTGATGATAAAACATTCCTGACAGCGCGAATAAAAAAAAAGTAAGAAATCTTTGTAGACAGGATTGAAATAATCATTAGACAACAATTTGATGATGATTTTAGATACATTATATGATGGGAATTTCGTAAGAATGTTATTTTTGTTTTTGGTCAAATAGTCAGCCGTATTCCTTTGCAATCATACAAATATTACATACTTTTACTATATACAGTAGTTCTGAGATGGCTGTCTCCACTAGTTACTTCATAATGTTACTTCAGCCTTGAGGGAGTGGGTTGATGGTAATGATTACATCGTTACAGTGTCCATTACAATAACAATAAAAACTATTACAATTACTTAAAATTCGAATTGATGTATTTTCAATTACTTTTAATTAAATAATTACAAGTAATTGTAATGGCAGTAATTTCAATTATTACTGCATCAATTAGGAAAAGTATTGGTAATGAATGACAAAAAAAATTAATGATTACTTATAAAGTTACATTATTATAATTTAAAAATTTAACTATTTGTAATTGTTAAGTCTTCAATTACTTCTAAAGTATTTGTAATTTTTAAAGAATCAATGGAATTAATTTCAATTATTACTACATAGTATAGGAAAAGTATTGGTAATAAATGACAAAAAAATGTAATGATTATTTTCAAAGTTTCATTATAATAATTTAAAAATTCAACAATTTGTAATTGTTAAATCTTCAATTACTACTAAATTATTTGTAATTGTTAAAACGTCAATTACAGCTACTTCCGAAGTAATTGTAATTCACAATATAATTGTCATCCTTAACTTACAAAATTTCAAGTATTTGTAATTGTATAAACTTCGATCACAATTACTTCCAAAGTCATTGTAATTGAAAATGTAATTGTCATCCACCAAATAACTATTTCAGTAATTATGTAGTTATTTTAACACTTGCTTCTTCAATAAAATATTTGGCGAAAATGACATGACCCCTAAAAAATTCATCTATTGATTTCCTTTCGATATACTTATGTATATTTTTTTCACAGACGTCTTGATAATTTATTTCGACATTATTTGCTATTACAAAAATCATGTAAGATCAAAAATAAAAAAAAAAAACATTAGCAAAATGCTTTTTCGTCAAATATTTGATAGACGAGAACGTTGCTTAAGTGGATAATTTTGATTTAGATCACATCTGATAGGTCAAATGACAAATTTCCTGATATTGTCTTATTCTAAAACTGCTGGGCATTGCAAACATTTATTCAATCATCTTGTAAAATACAAAACACTTGGAAATTTACCCATAAATTAGTCCAATTCTAAATATAAAACTATAATTTATTTAATTGATTAAAAATTTGTTTATATGATGTAAGCTTTGTAATTGTTTAATTTTGTTTAAATTTTGGACTATTAAAATTTTTAAAAATCTTAGATTTTAAAACAAATTTAATCACCAGAAACAAATAATCTATAGAAAAATATTTGCGAATTCCTTTTCAAGACTTAACTGACAATTGTAGAATTAAATCTATTTACTTAACTATTAGACTAAACAACAACAATTCGTTTGATATAACAAAACCTATTGCTCGAAAGGGGCAGATTTATTATACAATTCAAGTCACGTAGCTTTCATTTAAGTTTTGATATGAATAACTGTATACCTATAGAATGAGAGGGAAAGAGAGAGAACAAATTTCTTATGAAATCATTAACATGCACAAATAAGAGGCACAGAAGTTTATCAAACTTTACACAACACGGCAAAAAAAGAAAAGAATTATTGGCAAAAAGTGAAAAAAAGAAACAACATAACTTTAGTTAAGCCAATTCTAGTTGCTCATTTGGCTTTAAACCTTAAAGAAACCGATAAAAGAACAAACTTTTGACAACTAGTTAAAGCATTGTTTTGCAAAAAAATAATAAAAATGGAGAAAAAGAAATTATTAAAATATGTATGTGCATGAATACACACATGTACATGACAATGAGTAAAATTCCATTTGATAAAATATACTAAAATTGCTAGGTGTGAAAATAGTTAGAATTTAAATTAAGTGTTAAACACCTATTGTCACTTTAGTCATACTTACAAAGTCTTTAAACATCTCACCTGGTAGTGTGAATTAACTGGATTTTTTTGCAAATGGCTGCATATTTCCGTTACACTTTTTTAGCGACGATTAAAAGTTGCTTTGAGGTAACAAACGAAGACCTCAATATACAATCAAACACTATATTTACCAACAAATAATGCAAGTTCAATTTAACTTTACATAGATTACTGCGAGACTGTCTGGTGGTTGGTTTCATTTTGTTGTGTAATAAGCAGGTTTTAACTAAATCATTAAGCTTCAATTACAAATTACATACACATAGTAATTATAATTAGATTTTAGCAATTACAATTATTTTTAATGTGTATTAAAAATTACAATTACTTGTAATTGAAGTACAGGCATGGGGGGTAAGGATTACACAAAGTAATTCATTACATGGTCAACTACAATTACTTGTAATTTGTTGTTGAGCAATAACCAATTACAATTACTTGTAATTGTAATTGAAGTTTCCAATTAAAATTACTTGTAATTGTAATTAAGGTATTACGAATTATAAACGACATGTAATTATAAGGAACAAAATTCACAATTACCAGTAATTGTAATTGACAAATCTTCACATACAATTACTTCAAATATAATTGTAATTGAAAATGTAGTCATTACTCCCAAGCCTGTTGAAGTTTCACCAATTGTAATTACTAGTAATTGAAGCTTTTACAATTACAATTACTTTTAATTGAAATTTAAGTTTTATCAATTACAATTACATGTAATTGTATTTGAAGAATTTCCAATTACAATTACTTGTAATTGTGAATTTTGTTCCTAATAATTACATGTAATTGTAATTTGTAATATGCACCTAAATTACACTTACTTGTTAGTGTAATTTTAATTGAAAATTTCAATTACAAGTAATTGGTTATTAGTAAATTACACATTAGAAGTAATTGTAATTGGTTATTGCTCAATTGCACATTACAAGTAATTGTAATTGACCATGTAATGAATTACCGTGTGTAATCATTACCCTCCCATGTCTGATGACCAAGAATATTTTCAGAAAACACTTTAAAAAATAATTAATTGTAATACAAGTAATTGGTGGTACTTTCATTGTTATAAGTAGAACTTGAATTACAATTACATTTCAATGAAATGTAACTGGCATCCCCTAAGTCTGATATTAAGATATTTCGGAATAATTTGTTCAGATTTTTTTGTTAAAAAAAGTTGAAATTACATTTGACTTCAAACGTTGGAAATAATGTTTCCTGGGTTATTGTCATGTTTGAGCTTTTACCCTTTATTTTTCTTATAGCTAAAAATTCACTTTAGGAAAATTTTGAAGTATATTTTTCATTGAAAACACTTGACTTTACTTTCAGTCTCATCTGCATAACTGTATGAATACTTGTACATATGAATAGCTTTTATGACTTGTTATATATGTATGTATGTACAAGTACTTAGAAGCTTCTCCTTTTTTGTTATGAAAATATTCTCGAACCCCTAACCGGAGGAAAATATTTGTTTAAGGTTTATGCTATAAGCAGTAGTTTTTATATCGTCAACTGAAATAGTTTTTCTTACAGTGATTCGTAGAGAAATCTAAAGAAATAATTTAGGAGAAATAGGTCATTATTGAAAAAGTGTTATTTTTGAGTAAATTTCAGGAAATTTTTCATAGCCAAAAGTATTGGTCCTATACCATCCTCAAAGTGTATTTTCAGAGTTGATTGAGCTATTACAATCGCCCTTTCGTTGCCGGCTACTCCTGAGTGGGCTGGTACCCATATGATGTAAACCTTACCTCAGGGAGAATATTCAGTTAAAGCTTTCTTACAATCCAAAACGGTCTTAGATTTAATTTTATCAGCTGATATCGCCCTAATTGCCTTCAGGTTGTCGGTAAATATATTAAGGGCTGTGGGCGACATATTTATTCTAATCCAATTTACACATTCCGTTATTGTTCGCACTTCTGAATGGAAGCTTGTGTTATGATTAGAACCCCAGGGCTCACTTTGTCTCCCAATTTAGAGCCATCCGTGTAACAACTGGACCGCTTTTGGCCAGTTCGCTTAGAGTAAAGAGCCGTTCGACTGTAAGCGCCGACTCATATCTTAAATACGTTTCAATGGGTGAAATATCTACAAGCTGTTACGTTATGGTTACTATTTGTATAGCAATTGCTGGTTAAAAATTGCCTTTATCGTTCCAATAACTTTTCAAAACATTTTGTTATTTTTTTTTTATTAAATATTGGAAGATATCATTATCTTCCCCTTAGTATTTTAGCTAACGATATGGATATGCTACATGCTAAATGTTTGTAGACACTTATTTTTTGAAAAGTAAAGTTAAAGAAAATATCTATAAAGTGTTCTTGAAAGAAAATGACAAAAGTTAAAAATCTACACAAAGCAACTATTTAAAAACCACAATCTTATGACAATTGTTTTAAATATTTTGTGACGCAACACACCTACCAAAAGAATATTGTTAACTTAAATTAAATCTCATTTTGTTA